TGGAGGGCAGAGCGAAGCACATTCAGCTGCGGTACTTCCTCCTGCGCGAGCTACAGCAGCGCCGTCAGGCCCGCGTAGTACACTTGGCCTCCGGTGCCAATTCAACTGATATCTTTACGAAGGCACTTGCGCCTAAAGATCATCAGCGGCACTGTGTACAGCTTGGTCTAGTTCCTGTGGCTTCTCACTTGCTAGGTCCCTGACTGTGTACTACTTATATTACCTTGTGGCTGGACTAGTAGTGCCGCCTTGGATTACACTTGCTGACTGATATCTTTCGTTTGTACTCTTGCTGACTGGTCTTTGGACCCCTGCCTTGGAGGTTGGACTAGTAGTGCCACCGTGAGCTGTGTGTCTCTTGCTAGTCGCTGCCCCTTGTCTAGCCTAGGGGGTGTGTCAACATATAATTTGGATATGTTACAGGCTAGCTAGGTGCATGCTCATATAGGGTACAACCCCTTAGGTTATAATCCCTTGTACAAACTCATTCTAGTTAACAAATCTACTCTGAGATAGCCAACAATTTAATCCTGCCCTTAAATATCAGGACGAAATAGTCAACAATATAATATATAACTTGACACTCCCCCTAGGCTTGGTAGTGGCAAGCCCACCCAACACGATCACCTCCACACCCTTGCACCCCCTGTGTCCTGTAGCAGCTGTGGCATCTAGCAGCGGGTCAACCCCTCGGCACTCGAGGCGGCGGGTCGCAGTGGCGGCGGCGGCTTCGGCGACTACGGCGGCGGCGGCGGCAGGGCCTGCAGCACCTGCGGCGGCGGTGGCGGCGCGTGAGGCACCCGGCAACGTGGCACACACTGTGATGATGGGGGGGAGATGGCACGAGACCGTCAGCAGCCCCGATGCGCTGCCGTGGCATCGACGCCACGCCGTGGTGGCGTCGTCGTGCTGCCATTGCGGCGTCGACGCGCCAGCGCATGGACGGCAGCGGTCAGCGCCCGGTTGTAGTGCCAAGCCAGCTCACCCGCACGCCAGCCAGCGACGCGCCTGCCACGGCGCCTCGCTGAAGACCCCCTCCTCCCTCCTCTGCATTTCCCCCTCCTCCCCGCCACAGCTGCCAGGGCAGTGCATAAAGGCCGCCTTGGCCACACGACATGGCTGCCATGGCGGCGCATAAGCGACGGGAGGGGCGAGAGGACGCTGCGGAAGCGTGATGACAGGCAGGATCGGCCTGCTCTGATAGCACGATGAAAGGCGTTGAGAAACTAGGAGGTGTCTTAGAAGCCATGAAAATGGCGAGGGGTTTTAGGCTAGGGGAGAGAAGTTACGAGAGGAAAGAGAAGGAGATACAAGAACGGGGGGTTGTCCCCTCTACAGTAGGATTCTGTAATGTATCAACCTACCAAGCCTAAACAATTATATATATATAATATAACTCGACAGAAACTCCCCTTGGCCTTCACTGATATTCACCCTCCCAAGATGTAGGTATGGTAGTGAAAAGAAGAAATGTTGATATACGATCCCCTCAAATTACTGCACATCATCTCCCATGCGCAACAGGACAAGTGCCACTAAAGCCCCCACTAGATTCGGCAGCCACCCACCCAGCACCGGGCTGATCACACGCAGCTGAGAAGAGGGAGTCAAGGCCAGGACCAAGAGAGGGAAACGCATCGAGTGAGCAATCATCTCGCATAAGCAACAAGCACCGCTGCAGCCCTCACTAGATTCGGCACAGCAGACACCCACCCAGCACCGGGCTGATCACACACAGCTGAGAAGAGGGAGGCAGCACAACAGGGGGAGACCTACCAAGCGTGTGAGCTGAAAACAGATTATCACGTGGTGGCAGGTGAACATCGCCAGACACTGCTGAGAGAGCCAATCACTGCTGAGTCCCTGACGGAGAGAGAGAGAGAGAGAGCAGTAGGTGTGGTTGCGTCTTGAGGGAAGAGGAGACCCAACCGGGGAAGGCAAATGCACTCTACCTGAGCAAGAAGGACACCGGTGACGGAGAGAGAGTAATAGGTGAAGATGACAAAGACTGCGAGGGCGAAGCCGACCTGCACGGGATGCGAGGGACGATGGAGGGAAGTAGGGACAGAAGGGAGGATAGCTTTGAAGGAGGAGCCGCAAAACTACACGAGTGACGGAGAGAGAGCAAAAGGTGAAGGTGACAAAGAATGCGAGGGCGAAGCCAAACTGCATGGGAAGAATGACTGGGGGAACGAAGTATGGAATAGTAGAATGCTTTCCAGGCCTGACAGGGTGTCTTTGAGAAATTTAAAAAATACCCTGCAAAATGGGGGGAACGAAGTTTGGAATGCTAAGATGGTTTTGAGGCGCAACAGAATCACACCAGGCAAGGGAAATGAGGATATGGGGCGAGGAACGCGAGGGTACGATCATGAGAGCTCGCTTGTTGCTCAGAAAGGGAGGCTTAAACAAGGCACCACACAAATACACTAGGCAATGGATATGAGGATATGGAGCAAGCATTTGTTTTTTTAGGCGCCTCAAAAATAGACTGCATACAATTACACCAGGCAATGTACATGAGGATAAGATATTGGAGCAAGGCATGTAACAGTAAGATAGTAGTGAGAGCTCGCCTGTCGTTTCCCCTCTCACCTGTCCCTTCCTCTCTCACCTGTCGCTTTCTGATCTGCAGGTGGGCAGCAAAGAGTACTTATGACGAGGACGAGATGTGCACCCATCTGCAACAACAAGACTCCCCGCCTCTCACTTTCTCTTATGTGCACCGACCTTCTCTCACCTGCGGCTTCCCTTCTCACCTGATCTGCCGGTGGGCGGCGAAGAGAGCTCCCAGGTTGGCAAAGAGGATGAGGGTCTATTTGCAGCAACACCACTCCCACGGTCCCACCCCACCTCTCGCCCTCTTACTTGCACCGAGCTCCTCTCACCTGCCCCTTCTCCTCTCACCTGCCCCTTCTCTCACCTGCCCCTTCTTCTCTCACCTGCCCCTTCTCCTCTCACCTGTCCCTTCCTCTCTCACCTGCCACTTTCTGATCTGCAGGTGGGTGGCGAAGAGAGCTCCCAGGATGGCGAAGAGGAAGGTGGCGCACGGGAGAGCGACTCGCTGATGGATCTTCACCTGCAGGGGGGAGGGGTAAATTACTCTTGGAAAAATGAACACCAAAAACAGGGCGTGGAACAACGGCACACAGCTGGATTTTTACCTGCAGAGGGCATGGGGAGAGTGGCGCATGCAAACAGTGGGCGCATGCCAAAAGGGGGCTCATGCAAAAAGGGGGCTCATGCAAGAGAGGGGGTGCATGCAAGAGAGGGGGCGCATGCAAGAGAGGGGGCGCATGCAAGAGAGGGGGAAACAATTACTGGACTGTTGCAGGCAAAGAGGGAGGTGGTAGGTTATAGGAGAGCGGCGGTTGCTGGAATCACCTCTCGTTTTAGTAATAACACTCATCGCAACAGCCATAATCACTTCCAGTAGAGTCACAACCTACCAGTATTCACGTGCTCTCCCTGCCTTTGCAGCAGCACCAGTACTACTGCTGCTGCAACCGCACCACCTGCAGCAGAGACATGTGGATGAGCACGAGCAGAACTTAAATACATTCGTTGCAACAGCACCCACCAGTATTCGCGTGCTCTCCCTGTCGTTGCAGCATTGCCGATACAGCCGTTGCAGCCGCACGACCTGCAGCAGTGACATGTCGTCGAGACTGCGACTGCCGTCTGCCTCTGCTAGGTACAGAGGTCCACGGCCAAGCGACAACTCTCCTGGAAGGGAAGGGGGGCAGGCAGAGCTGACAGAATGGGGAGCCATGGGATGGGACCAGTGCACCTGCAGCAGGGGCGTGTCGTTGAGACTGCGACTGCCATCGAGTCGTCGAGAGTGCGACTCCCATCTGCCTCTGCTAGGTCTAATGGTCCACGGCCACGCGACACTGCATCTGCAAGTGAAGGGAGGGAGGGGAGAGAGAGGAAGTGAAGGGGAGTGCAGTGGAGGCAGGGGTGGTTGATTGGGGTGCCATTGGCCCGGTACTGCCATCTGCCTCTGCTAGGTCTGAAGGGCCGCGGCCGATGGGTAAACTCCCCTGTGAAAAATAGCATTGTTGGAGGGTATGCGGGAGAGTGAGGGGTATCAATCAAAGTGCATAGGGTGTATAGCAAGCAACCATGACATGACACGCAGTTGCAGCAGCTCCAACAGGGAGACGCAGGGCAGGCATATACCATTACGGCTCCGACGGCCAATTCCACATGCCATCAACACATAGAGGAAAGGAGGGTGAGGGCCGGTGCAATGGAGACGCAACCCGTACAGCTCCCGTCAGTCAGAAACAAGCCCGCACATCCCACTCAACAGCTCTGCCAATCCCCTTCCCTGTTTCCCTGTGATAATCTCGCACGTGGGATTAACCCACCCATGTTTGCCCAATTCCCCTTGCGTACTGATGCGAGAGGACTCACTCATTTCGGTGAATGGCTGCTCTGACACAAGCTCCCATGACAGCCTCCTTGCCACGTGATTGCTGCTGCTGACAGCTGGAGCTTCACCAGTCTCAACAGCTGCTGCTTGTGACACAAGTGCACACGCAGCTTGTGGGACAGGCCGCCTTTCTGCTTCTTGTTGCTGCTGCTTCTGCTGCTGCTGCTGTTGTTGTCTCTGCTGTTCAGCTCTCCTCGCTTCCGTCTCCCTCTGCTGCAGCCTGCCTCTGCCCTTCTTGTGCCTCCCCCCACGCATCCCAGCTACTGCCCCCCTCCCCCTCTCCTCCATCCCACTCCGCTCCCAGCTACTCCTCCACCTCTCACCCCCCCCCGCTTTTTCCCTCTCCGCACCCACCCTGCTTGCAATCCCAGGTCCCCTTACTGCTTTTCGGTTCTCGGTCCCCTGCTGCTCTCGGTCCTCCTCGCGCCCTTCCGCCTCTTTCTGCTGTGCTTGCTGGTGTTGCTGCATCTGCGGTTGTGGCCGCTCGGGTTGCTCTGCCACAAGTTCAGTAGCATGGGAATCAGCAGCAGGAAGCTCGTAGGGAAGATAGCCAGGTGATGACAGGGAGAGAACCTGCTCCACCCCGTTAGTGAACACCCAGTGACCCCCTCTGTAGGTGGGTCCTTGGTTGTCGACTTTATAACGAGTATAGCCTCCCTTATCCAGTCTTAGAATGGGGCTTTTTCGAAGGAAGGAGGGGAAGGGGAGGAAGGAGGAGGAGGGGCGAGAGGATTAGGGGATCCAAGTTGCTCTCTCTGCTGAAATAACCCGAGTCACACAGCTGGCTGCAGCTGTGCTTGACACTGGTTCTGGAAAGTGGGAGGAGGGCAGCAGCACTGGCGAACATACTAATGGAGACGACGAATGTGGTGATGACGTTTGTAAAGAAGGTGCAGACTGCGACGACGGTGACTGTAACGAGGGTGGCAGGCAGTTGGAATTGGCTCTGCTCTGGTCGACAAGCGTGACTTGCCTCATCACCCCCGCTTCAAACCGCCTTGCATAGAAGAGAGAGTGGAGATCCCCGCTCTTGCTGTAGATTCATTAAGGGGAAAGGGAAGAAAAGAAACATGATGCGCCCTGCTGACTTCCTCTGCCTTGCCTCATCACCCTGGCTTCAAATCGCCTTGCATAGAAGAGAGACACGCCTCGCATAGAAGAGCGAGGGGTGAACCCCGCTCTTGCTGCCAGGACAGCAACGGCAGGTGAAAGGGATGCACGAAATCAGCATGTCAAATCCACACCAAAAATGGAGGGCTTGGGACTGTTCACACAGCATTCCGAATCTAGTCCAGGAGTTTGTGAGCCAGTGGGGAGAGTGTCAAAGGCGGAAGGGGGAGTAGGAACAAGAGATGGCAGCAACAAGGGGAGGACGTTATGAGGCAGAGTCCAAGGAGACGACATTAGGAGGCAGAGTCCAAGGAGACGACGTTAGGAGGCAGAGTCCACGGAGCATGCATGCAGAGGTGGAAAGCGGATCTACCTGAAATGAGGAAAGATGATGGGATAACGCATGTGTGGCGTGTGCTGCTGTTCACGCCCTTGCATCTGCACATGCGGTTGATATATGGTTAAGGTTTGTTGCCTTTGCGTGTAGACATGCACAAGAACGGCTTGACGATGGCATGAGTTGTATAGGCATGCACCATGATGTACATACATGCACTATTTTGCAACACGTGTGGCATGTGTGCTGTCGAGAAGCGTAGCTGCGAATCATTCACAAGCAGCAAAATGGCAGGATACAGAAGCGAGCCGCACACAGAGGTGCAGGCAGCAACAAGAGCGGTGACAGATGTTGCAGTACGGTTGCACAAAACCTACAATGCAAAGGGGCATGCACAACCCGTAGTGCTAACTGAGACACATTATCTACAGCATCGAATGACTTACAGAGAGAAGCTGGTGCAGGTAGCGGGGAGAGTGCGCAGAGCAAACAGACAGGTGCCATGTCGCAAACAGCAGGTTCAGGTACTGAAGGTGTTACAGGTGTTACAGTTACAGGTGTTACGGTTACAGGTGTTATGGTTACAGGTGCCACAAGAAACAGACAGGAGCAACATACAGAGAGAAGTTGGTGCAGGTGGCGGGGAGAGTGTGCGGAGCGAACAGCCCTGAGCATGTGAGAGGCGCGGTGGGTGGTGAAGGGAACGAGGAGCTGCAGGGGGGATGGGGGAAGTGGAGAGGTGATGAGAGGTGATGAGGGGTGGTGAGGGGTGAAGAGGGATCAGAGGGACGATAAGGGCAGAGTGGACGGCCCTGGCCATGTGAAAGGCACGGTGGTCGGTGGAGGGGAGGAGGAGCTGCAGGGGTGATGGGGGGTGATGGGGGGTGATGGGGGGTGATGGGGGGTGATGAGGGGTGATGAGGGGTGAAAGGGACAGGTGTTGTGCGGTACTGCAACATCGCGGACTAGACAGCCCTGAGCATGTGAGAGGCACGGTGGTTGGTTGGTGAAGGGGGTGAAAGGCTGCAGGGGGGGTGTGGAGGAAGGGGAGGGGTGATGAGGGGTGATGAGGAGTGAAGGCAGATCAGAAGGGATAAGAAGAGCAGAGCCAACAGCCCTGACCTGTGGCATATAGTGCATGTGGAGTACATGGATGCATGGATGCATGGACACGCTTGGCTGCTTGCCAGTGGACGGCATCATGCTTGCCGATACCAACGAAGCGGGCCAATACGCTGATGGGGTATGCCAGGTCAGGGCGGGTGGAGACCATGGCATACATGAGAGAGCCGATGAGTTCAGCGTAGGGGTGTGAGGAGGAGGAGGGGGAGGTGAGGGGAGTGAGGTGGTGCCCAACAGGAAGAGGGGTGACGTGAGGGGTGCCGCGAGCCATGTCGAACCGCTCCAGGACCTACTGCAGGTAGTGGCTATGGGAGAGGGAGATGGTGCGAGCAGCATGGTCGCGGGTTATCTCCATGTCGAGATTGTGCTGCAACTCCCCAAGATCCTTTCACTTGATCCGGATGCCAAGCTCACGCCTAACGCGCTCGAGCTCGGCAGAGTCGGCAGTGATGAGGATCATATCGTCGACGTAGACGAGGATGTAGAAGGGGGAGGGGGAGGTGCGGAGGAAGAGGCTGGGGTCGGCGCGGGAGGTGGTGAACCCTGCTCACCGAGGGTGGCAGCAAGCTTGGCAGGCCACTACCTTGGTTCCTGCTTGAGCCCGTAGACCGGCCGACGCAGCTGCCAGACAGAGTCGGAAGGAAAGGGGAGGAGGAAGCCTGCAGGACGCTCCATGTAAATGAGCTCGCGCAAGACGCCGTGGAGAAATGTGTTGGAGAAGTCCATGGAGTGAATCTCCATGTTGAGGCGAGCGGCGAGGTCGAGCACTGCGCAGATGGTAGCGGGCTTGGCGGTGGGAGAGAAAGTGTCGAAGAAGTCGACAGTGTAGTGCTGGGTGAAGCCCTTGGCGACGTAGCGGGCCTTGTAGACCGGCGGCTCGCCAGGCAGCTGCTTCACCCGGAACACACACTTCCCTTTGACCACGTTTGTGGTAGAGGGAGGGCGGGGCACATCCACAAAGGAGGAGTTGGCAATAAACGCCTCCAACTCCTTGAGGATGGCTGCGAGCCAGAGGTGGGCGTCAGGGCACGCCATGGCCTCCTCGTACGTGGCGGGGATGAAGATGGTGGGGGCGGAGGAGAAGGCGAAGACTGGTGTGCTGGTGAGGTCAGGGGAGATTGGGTAAGAGGGCTGGATGATGTAGGTGGAGGTTGAGGAACTCCTCATGGGAGTCCTCGAGGAGGGAGGAGTGGAAAATGAATGGGAGGATGCATCTGCTGCTGCTGCTGCTGCTGAGGCGGCTGCTACTGAGGATGCATCTGCTGTTGCCGCTGCTGCTGTTGCGCATGAAGGTGAGGAAGGAGCGACGGCTGCTGCTGCTGGTGCTTCGGCGGTGGGTGGGACTGCTGCTGCAGCTGCTGCTGGGACTGCTATAGTGGAGCTCGACGACAAGGTTGGGCTAGTGTTGTTTTGTAAGACAGCCTGAAAGAGGAGGTCCATGAGAGGGGAGAGAGGAGGCAAGGTAGAGGAAGAGAGGGTAACAGGAGGCGGGGCACCTAGGACTGCATCACATGACCTGGTGTGGGGATACCGAGTGAGGATGGAGCGGGTGGGACGCAAGGGGGGACGCGGGGGAGAGTGGGGAGGAGGGGAGGGGGGAGGATGGGAGGGAGCGGAGGGGGAGGAGTGGGATGGGGAGGCGGGGGGAAAAAGAGGGTCAGGGTCAAATATGTCACCAGAGGAGGGGGGAGCGCTAGGGACTGAGGCAGCGGGGAGTGGAGGAGGTGGAGCGGGGGGGAGGATGGGAGGGGGTGGGAGAAGAGGGGGTGGGATAGTGTCGGACCAGGTGAGGGGCTTGGGAGCAGGGGCGAGAGGGTCAGTGGGGGGGAGAGTGGAATAGTAGGGTGTGGACTCATCAAAGACCACATCCCGACTGCGGAGGAAACGACCTGAGGGGGGGTGAAGGAAGAGGTAGTCCGGGGAGGAGGGTTTATGACCAAGGAAGATGCAGGGGAGGGTACGGGAGGCGATCTTTCCCATGGTGCGGGGGCGGTCCGCAGGGTGAATGAGGACATACGCCCTGGAGCCCCACACATGGAGGGAGGAGTCGTCAGGCTTGGCTGACGTCCAGAGCTCAGTGGGAGTGGTGGAGGGAAGGATGGGGTGGGGGTACAGGTTAGTAAGGAGGGTGGCGTGAAGGAGGGCATAGCCCCACAGAGAAGGGGGGCAAGAGGCATGGACGAGGAGACACCGAGCAATCTTGGTGATCTCCCGAACACGGCTCTCGGCCACACCATTTTGCTGGGGGAGTGGGGGAGGGTGTGAGTCTGGCGAATGCCATGAAGCTCACAGTAGGAGGCTACCTGGCGATTAAGAAATTCGCCACCGCCATCAGAGTGAAGGCGGCGGACAGGGTGGCCAAATTGGGTGCTCGCCTGCTTGAGCCAAGCGATGATCGCAGCCGGAGCGTCACCCTTTGAGCGAAGAAGGGAGACGGAAGAATATCATCTGTGATCATCGACCAGAACAAGCTTGTAGCGATGACCTTGGCGGGAAGGGGAGGGGTTGAGGCCCCAGAGGTCCATGTGAACGAGATCAAGCGGCTGAGCAGCAGCGGAGGGGGAGCTCCGATGCGGCAGCTGTTTGAGCTTGCTCTGGACACAAACGGGGCAAGGTGGGCAGGGGAGGGAGGGAGGGAGGGAGTGGAGGGAGGGTGAGGGGAAGACCTCGAAGGAGACCTGAGGAGATGGTCGAGCGGAGGGTGGCAAAGTTGGGGTGACCAAGCCTGTGGTGGAGGAGGACGGAGGGATGGGAGAGGGATCGACAGGAGCAAGTTGGGTCAGGGGGGAGTGTTATAACCACAATAGGCTCAGATGTGCCTAAAATGAGAGATAGAGAGCACAGTTGGATTTCCATTAGACGGCTTCAAATATTGATAGCGATCTGATCTGTGACTCAAACGGTGATCTGTAAGTTGGATCTTGAGCTTGCTGCTGTCGTCTATCAGCAAAAAGTTGAATCATGCAATTCCATGAAGATTTGACGACGCTATGGCAGTTTGACTGGCAGGAGGTATAGCAGCCACTATAGTCTTGGAAGTACAATCTTAGCAAGAAGAATTCGAGAGGGAGATGGTTCCCAACCTCTACATACCCCAAGAGCCGAGGTCCAGGTTGGTTGTACACCACCACAGAGTCCCTAACCACGAAGAGTCTCAAAACAAACCCTCCAAGGGGCTACACCAAGTGAAATGTAACACTACACGAAGTAGCGTTACTATTTTCACTATTTAATATTTATCCGCGTCCCTTGGGCTTGAAATCTTGAGCTCTTGGTCTTGGTTCTGCAAGATAAATTCTTCTTGAGTTGATGGGGGCTTGCTGCACACACTTGCGACGCGATGGACACTTCACACTCGACAAAATAGAAAAACACATGCGACACGCAAACGACGACTTGACATGCGAGTTGTAAAAACTCACTAATGTCTTGACTAACACACACCACATTGTGAGACACCATTCAAACACACACACAAGCACTAGATAGCAATGAAATAGACTCACAAGTCATTCCATGCCATGCATGCACACACACAAACAAGGACGACAAGCCGAGTGCAAGCCAAAGGGTTGCACCAACAAACTCCCCCTCGGATTGTTGGCCTTAGAATCTGCTCCCCTTAGTTCAGAGCCATCCCAGCAAGCTTGCAAAACTTCCAATGCTGCTGCTCAACCAGCCTTTTGGTCATCATATCAGCAGGCTGCGCCGTCGTCTTCACGTAGTGCAACTCCACTTCACCCGCGGTTACCATGCTCCTCACCCAATGCCACTTCACTTTCATGTGCTTGGTAAGGCCATGAAGAATGGGGTTTTTAGCCAATGCAATAGCATCCTGGCTATCACAATAGAGTGGGGTAGGTCCTTGCTGCTCCTCTCCCAATTCAGCTAGCAAATGCCGCTGCCTCACAACCTCCCTTATGGCACGGAAGAGTGCCATGTACTCGGACTCCACCAAGCTCAATGCT